ATTATATAGTAATATAATTATTAATATAGATAGTAATTTATCTAAGTATTAACAAACGGTTTGTCTAAAGACGACCTCTAGAATATTCTGTTTCTATCTATACAAATACAGAAGATAATTATATACGAAGGATATTCGAATAAATATTAAATTGGGATATTATCTGCTGAGACAAAACGTAAATATATATATATATATATGTATAACAGACACCTGTAAATACGATGATGATGGATCATAGCTTATGCGGCTGTTTGCAATATATCGTCAATTAAATATCCTAACATCACGACTCGTCGGTAAATACAAAATAACAACTGTGCGTGCTCATGATGGCGTATTTCATTGAGAAATGATTACGTCAAGCATCAAGACTCAAGATTGTAACACCATTATAACAATATGTACATAAAAGAATATTATAATGTAACAACTCATTTTTTGTCATGTACAAAAAAAAAGGCATTCATTGTAATTTGACGTAATTGTATATAAGTATGTGAATTGATGATCATTAATTACAATAAACGTACAGTATCATAAAAATATACACAATAATAATATACCTGTACACGCTCTCGTCGTAATAGAGAAGAATTCGCAGCGGCTGATTCACACTTCTTTTTCTCATTATGTGCGGTGATTCAATGTGCACTCCATGTATTACCTGCAATAACAATAAAAAAAAAAATGGATATAAATATTTGTACTAATACAACCATAAGCATCATTTATCATGATTAAAAAGCAATTCATATATGATTAACTATATTATGATCTTATTCCGTGAGTATATTCATTTAAAGTTATGTGTTGTAAAAATACTTGATGTATGAAACAAATAAACTCATTAATAACGAAAGACTATTCTAAACAGAGACATTTAGTCTGTCAGTCTATATAATTTCTAAGATATATTTTATAAATTTAGAGTACTCTTAGTAATAACAACATGATAGATATTGAACTATTTTTTGCCCAAAAAATTGCACATATTATACAATAATTACTTTATAATTTTAAAATTGCATTGTGTACATTAACTACCAATCAATGTAGTAGCAAAAATGTTTAAGTCCCTAATACTAATAATATTCTTTGAATTACAACAAACTAAAATTGTTATTTTTCATTTTAATATCCCATTTCAAAGAAATCGAAACATTAAACGTCTATGAAAAAATAATTTTGCAAATATATTTTCGTRATTTTAACGGATTTTCTCAAAACTTGAATTTAAAAGGTTATATAAAAAACATAAATTGCTATGTTCTTAATATTTTTTAATTTATTTTAAAATAACTTAGGTGAAAGCTTTTAATTAATTTTCAAGGATTTTAACCAAGCAAAACAATTTATATAATATATGATTTTTTCTGATTATTTTGAAAATTACTCGGAAATTATTTCTTTTAACCCTCAATGTACCGACTAAATCCAATTTTCTAACAGAATCCGAGCTCAAAGTAAAAAATCAAAGTTTCATTACTCAGAAAAATATCCATTTGCAGATAAAATAATATTTTATTTTTTATTTTAACACACACTTCATAGTAAAACCAATGTTTTCAKAATTTCATTAAATAATTGTATTTTAAAAGCGTTTGGGCAATATTTTTAATAAAACCCATATTGTAAAGTTATAACAATACGTATACCTACTACATGTTAATTTATTCGTATGGAAACCTTATAAAATATCTATAGTATTATAATATTATAGATTTACATATATAAGTAAGTAGGTACTGTCTATATCAATAAATATTGGTTAAATAATCAATTCCATTATTTTTTAATGCATTACGAAAACAAACGTACATATTTCCTCAAAACCGTTTTCATAGATTATTGATTTGTAGGAAATTCGAAAAATACACACGTACCTAATTTGAAGATAAATTTAAAGGACCCAAATTATACAATATGATAAACCAAAAAAGAAATCCATAATGTTATATAATATATAGTAGCTAAACAAAATAAAAAGTATGTTATCTTATAGGTAGATTTCTTTTACCTTATTTATTTATTTCCTATAGTCTATACAAGCGGAATTGCAGTCAAGGTAGATTGATCACGGGATAACAAAAAAAAACCTATGGAAGTAGCTCTGCTATACTATAGTATAGGTGTCGAGTGTAGCTCGTTATTGAGTCTCTTGAATAATTGTTGTGATAAATTTGAATTCAATGATAAACATAATGTATAACTAAAAATAACAATTCTGAGCGAAGACGGTATATCGGCCTTTATTTTTAAATAGCTCAAAATGTACTTAAATATTTTGATAATTTCATTATGTAAAGAAAATAAATACATACGTTAATTCGAATGGTTAAATTTTTTAATTAAAAAAAAAAAAAAATCATTATTTTACGATTGAATATACAATTTCAAATATCTTTAATCAGCTAATTGTTCCCAAGCATGTTGGTACTTTTAAATTGCTTATGACCAAATCATGTGAAA